GCTAGCGATTGGTTTGCTAGCCGTATAAAAGGTTAGAGCAGTTTCCGCCCAAGTTGGACGACCCCACAACCGTCTTGTGGGGATCTCTAAGCGTGCTGTGGAGCCTAGCAAACTCCGCGTGTGTCTTGGAGGAGAACTTAGGGACCTGATCAGACTCTAACCACTCCCCGTCATCGTGGAAATATTGACGTACCCCCGTGTTGAGTGCTCGTGGAGTCGTGCACCGACGACTCATCTCGGTTCGGGTTGGTTCGAAGAGAGATCTCACCCCTGTGTGTTTGTGTGCAACTGTAATTCAAGCAAGTTTTCTTCCTGCACTGCGACCATCAGCAGTGTAAGTAAAGCTTTCTTTATACAACCAATACGCTTCCGTGCCTAACTCTATTCCATCGTGGAAAATACCCACCTGACGGTCCGGGCTACTGGCCATAGCCTTAGACCACCCTCGGCCGCCACAGTCAGTATGCAGCAATCGTACAGCAAATGTAAGACATCATGCTTGATTTTTGTAGGGAAGTTTTTTTACACTATCACAAAGGGCTCCTATACACGTGCGGGGAAGCTTCTCCAACACACCATAATGCCAGCGTGTCAGAGCAGACTCAATTAATCTAGTCTGCTGGAGCATGGTAATTGCTGTGCTCCAGCAGACTCCAGTGTCACGTGTATCAGCGTCCCTGCACCAAAAAATGGCAACAGGGCGCTTTAAACTAAAGCTTGTTTGACAAGATTTAGTTCAAAGTGCCCCGCTGCCATTCTACAGTGCAGGGACGCTGATACAGGTGACGCTGTATGAACTTTTAATTACAGCAGTTCTTGGAGCTGCACAAATTAAAGCACCCCCCCGGCCTTCCAGAGCACATCTATAAACACCCAAAGATTTTAAATTTCAAGATGATCATCCTCTGCATTTTCTCATGATTTTAATAAAAAATGTTGTCTAAAAATGTTCTTGTGTAAAACAACAGGAACATGCTGCCTATATGCATGTTGTTCATTTTAATAATTTAGATATAGTTTCTTCTAATACCTTGAGTACTGTACACTGTTTTTCCCCAAAGGGGTATATTTTGAATAAGAAAGGAAGAAATATATTCCCATATAATAATGAGGTGCCTCATATGTGTAAACTGAGACACAGTGAAGAGACAATAAATTTTGAAATCATCTCAAAAAACAAGGGGGGGTATAACCCATTCTGAATAAAGCCTACACTCTAATGGTAATTTAATATTTTTAAAAGTTTCCCCAGGAAAAATCTCTTATTCTTCAGAATGCCCTCAAAGAATGAGTCTTTAAACAGTCATTCTAATGAACAATGAAAATAGATTCAGGTCTGAGAGAAAAAGAACCTGGCACAGTGATTCTGCAATATGTGGTATGTTCAGCAGAGCATACTCTCACAAGATTCTAAGCTTTATCTAGCTTTATCTTAAAATGAACCTAGCTGGAAAACTGACAATAAAATCAGACCCATATAGAAAAACAAATCCACCACACTCATGCTATTTGAACTAGCTCTACTACTGGTCAAAAACAAGAAAGTTAAATATTTTTCATTTTATGACTAGGCGAACAAACTGGCAGCATAAAAACAGAGCTTTCTGCGTACATTCTACCCCTTATTATACAATGATATATAACGTTCTTCCCTCAACAGTGTGAATAATCATAATATAATGCTATCTGTTCAGGTATCAGACATTTAAATAGCCACTACCACAAAATTACAAGATTTTTAGTTCCATTTTCAGAGATTTAGATGCATAAAATAGTGTAGACTAAAAGTTAGATGTAGTAAAAAAATGAACAGATATATATTATCTAATTTTAAGTATACTATAAATAAGGCAAAGCTTCATGCATGCAGCCCCGTGTTATTAAATTAGACTGTAAAATCATTTCCTAAAATAAAATTATAAATTCTATAGGGTAGTGGCTTGTTAACCTTTGTAGAAAAGTTGCACACAAGATGTTTTTTTCCTGCAAAACTTGTAGAGTATTAAAATTTTGAAAGTATTTAAGGCATCAGAATTCACTATTAAATTCTACTTAAGTGTTAAAATGAGAAAGACAAGTGATAACGATACATCATAATGTTTCTTAACCATTGTCTAGCTTTAACAGTAATGTACCTTTCTGTACTTTAATTAGTTCCTTTCCTATTTCCAGAGTGACAAATGCAGTACCATTGAGAACAATATCCGTTATGGTTTTCCATGCATTAGCAGAAAGACGTTCAGTAGGTGAAATAAAATTTCCTGCTGCATTGTTTATCACAACCTAAAACAAAAGAAGGCAAATCTATAAGTTATATGGGCATTAATATACAATGGGAAGTTATTAGAAACTTTTCACTGCTAAAGACAGAAGCAAAAATGTTTTCATCAAATGATGTACGGTATATATAGAGAGAAGATAATTCATCATAAACTGCAATTTCAACAGAAATAAATGAATATCAATACCAGGAGATAAAATATACTCACAAAATGTTGTAAGCTACTATAGAGTTATTATTAAGAAAGAAAATGTATTATTTCTCATACCATCAGTGTCCCAATGGGAATTTTAAATTAGAAGATGCAAGTCTTGGAGGGAAAAAATAGCTGTTAAAATCACATATCATATGATTATTTTGATGTGTAACATGGGATACCCAACAAGCAAAAATACAAGCAAGTTGAACTAACTACCTGATTATCAATTAGTTGACTCCCATAGTGAAAAACATTTAGTAACAGTACATATATAGATAACACTGTAAAACTAGTCTTCACTTTATAAAAATCACACAACAGAATGTATTGTTAGTAAAGATATCTTTTGGACATCATTACTGCCCTTCCATTAATATTGAGGAAGCATGGGAAACTATGGATAAATAATCTGCATAGTTACCAAAGGTAAAATAAAGGCTTCTGGGGGAAGAAGAGGGGGGAAGGAAGGGGAGGGAAGATTAAGCATCATTAAGCAGTTTTGGGCAAAAAGAAAATGTCCATGTCATACATTATATAAACATTGTCAGGAGTGAATGATAAAGTCTGTGAGAATCAGAATCAAAATTCACTATTAGATTCTACGTAAGTGTTAAAATGAGAAAAACAAGTGATAACAATACATCATAATGTTTCTTAACCATTATCTAGCTTTAACATTAACTTACCTTTCTGTACTTTAATCAGTTCTTTTCCTATTTTCAGAGTGACAAACGCAGTACCATTGAGAACAATATCCATTATAGTTTTCCACACATTAGCAGAAAGATGCTTCATAGGTGAAATAATAGGTGGTGGTGAGCATACAGGTGGTGAGCATGATATAAGGGCCACACTAAATTATACTTTATGTGAGATTCAATGTGTCATTTAAAACAGAAAGAAGGTATTGATATATCATAATGTAAAGAAATAAAAGGCATGAACAATTGTAAACAAGGTAACAATAACAGAAGCTCAAAATTCTGGTAACAAAATGCTGAATGCCACCATAAAATAATAGGCCCAGAAGGGGCTTCAACTGTCACCTTGTGCAGTGGAAGTCCAGTGCAGGTAGTCAATCCCCTGAAAGAAATGTACCATGTACTATTCCTAAACCAGGGGTGGCCAGCCTAAAGCACATGTACCACTAGTGACAAAGGCAGCCTATTGGGGAGGGAGCAGGGAACAGAGTGACAGATAGGACAGGAACCAGAAAACAGAGCAGCAGATTTGGTAGGGAGAACACAGCAGGGAACAGAAAGCAGAAGGGCAAATCAGACAAGAGAAGGGGATTGGAGTCGCACTCAGGCAGGGCGTGGGGGTTCATTACTGACACAACAGCCAGAAAGTTTGGCCCCTGCAATGGAGCTACCTCCATAGCATGTTGAGCCAGGTCAGAGCAGCCCCAGGCTGGCAGGCTGACCTCACAGGCCCCCTGCTATATGGGGCTGCTCTGACCTGGTTCAATGTGCTGCAGTCCAAGGCACATGTATAAATATAGTGCCTGGGAGCAATAAACTCCAGCACGATATGGGCTGGAGTTTATTGCTTCACGTTAATTGCACATGTAGATGCGTCTAGTGTTTGCTATGCTTCAGTTTTGTGTTAGCTGCAAATTTGATCACCATACCCACTATCCTTGCATCCAAATCATTAATAAAGAATGTTAAATTGTGCTGGACCCAAAACAAAACCCTATGGAGCCCCATTTGAAACTTCCTGCCAGTCTAACATCAATCTGATTACAATTACTCTTTGTTTGTGTTTATTCAAACAATCATGTATTTCCCCTAACAGTAATTCTATCTAAACCTCATTTCTACAGCTTATGCATACAAACTACATGTGGGACAGTGTCCAAGGCCCCACTAAAGTTGAGGTATATTATGTCCCAAGTTGGTTTGACATGATTTATTTTTAACAAATGCATGTTGGCTACTAGTGATAATCCATTTCTCCTCTAGATGTACTGTTTTATAATTTGTTGTAGACACTTCCTACGTATTCAAGTCTGACTGAATAGTCTATAATTCCCTGGGTCATTATTTTTGCCATTTTTAAAGATGGGCACGATATTAGCCCTTCTTCAGTCTTCTGGGGCTCATCTCCAAAAGCTTGCAAACATTATTGCTGTTAGCTCAGAGATTTCTTCAACTAGTTCCTTCAGCACTTTGGGGTGAATTGTATCAGGCCTACTGACATATATGTTCAAGTTTGTCAAAAGTTCCCTGACACAGCTCACACTTAGAATTATCCATCATTGTTCTTCCTCTTTGTTTATATTAATATATAAATATAATTCACAGCCATTTTTTTTCAGGCAATGGAATAAGAATCCAGAGTCTTTCCTGAGACTGTACTTAATACAACTGCGTTACCCTCCAGTCTGTAGAGGATTTCTTGTTCCACTGTTTAGCATTCAAGTGGTTTTTGGAGTTTTATTGTTTAAGAACAACTACTCTGAGGTCAGTGATGGAATGTTCAGGGAGGTTAATGTGTTCTGCCACAGATTTGTGTAGAATTAATTTCTGGAATTAATCTGAGATCAGTATCCCTTCATTCTTTCACAGAAGAATCACCCCATCTGCCAAATGCAGGCAGCAGAGGAGCACTGTAATCAGGTGATGGCATATATGATGATGGTAAAGAAGCAGAAGAACAAACCCTTCATGCTGTAAACTGTTCTGTTCAGTGATGATGTCCTCTATGTTAATGTGGTAGCACAACTAACATCTGGGTCTGCCGCAAGATCTAGTGGCTTGGTGAGAATTCTTACTCTATTACCTGAAGTAGCATTTACAATTCAATAAGTCAGCTGCTTTACTTATCTCTTTTGATCACTTCAACCCACTTTCTTGTTTCTCGGAAGTATTCCTTCCTTTCCTCTTCTTCTTCCTCTCCTTATTCCTTATATTGAAATAACTTTATTCCTTTCTATTTGCTATTGCTGCTCTCCGAAAGTCCATTAAAAAAGGCTGTAGCCTAGGAAAGCTAATGCCTCTCTAAGCTAGTTAGCTTTCCCTGCCTTCTTCCTGATACAAGCTATTAGTTATGGACAGATGAAACACTTGAATTGAGTTAAAAGAAGGGGACTTACTGCATGTTAAGCTGATCAATTTTAAGTGCTGTTTGTGTCCATTCTATCTTGTGCTAACTGGAAACTAAACTGGTAATTTAGCATATGTTTCATTCAGGGTAAACCACTTAAATTCTACTTACTGCAGAATAGAGTGGACACATGAAACATGAACTATGGATCTAGCTTCATATATGGTAATTTCCCTGATCTTTTTTTATTCTATATAACTGTCACATCTGTCCAGACCCCTCAATATATTAGCCAGTGCTGGCGACTGCTGTTTTGCAAATCAAAGTTGCTGTTTTGCAATTTTAAGTGCTCCGTCACAGGGGGCTGGATGAACTTTTCATGGGACTAGCTCCCAGCTTCATCTATTATTGATCAAGTGACTCTGAGGTTTCAAACAGACAACGCTTTTGCCACCATAAAAATAAAAATGCACAAAACTCAGGCAGACAGCCATCTGAAACTTCTGTTGCACCATGGGCTCCTCTACACATGCAAGTAAAGGCGCAATGGGATCCAATGTGTGAACCACACAATTGTCCCTCCTGCCATGGCACACATGCATGGCAGGAGGCACGATTGTGGGATTGCGTATTAGATCCCATCACGCCTTATTGCTGGTGCAAAGGGAGCCCAATTCAGGTTCCCCCTGCACTGGCAAGAAGCAAACTTCCATAGATGGGAGCCCCCTCACCTGAGGGGCTCCAAACTGAGGGGATACCCAAAGCACCCCTGGGGCTGGGAAATGCAGCTGTTGTGATCTCCTACCTTCAGGAGTGCATGAAACCCCCATGGCTGGAAGATCGTGGTTGCTGCGATGTCCCAGCCATTGGGGTTTCAGGTACCTCAGGGGTAGGAGATTGTGACACTCCCAATCCCAGGGGCTCCTCACACACCTCGGGCCAGGATATCATAGCTGTGCCCCACAGGGTGCTGCTGGGATCCAGAATCAACAGCTGCTGGGGCTGAGAGTCCCCCCAGTTGCAGGACTCCCAGCCCTGGCTGGGCATGGTGCATTGGTGTGGCTAGGAGCCCTGTTAGCTGCAGGAGACACCTGCGGGTGCTGGTCGGCACTTGCCACCTGCCATCCTCCCCCCCCCGCCCCTCCCCGTGGCCGCCTGCAGGAGTTTGCCGTGCCACCACAGGGGCAAGCAGCATTCATGTCTGTAACTAACATCTCACACAGCTACAATTCATATGAAACTGTCAACAAATATGTAGAGGTTTTTGAGGTAGAACATTCTGAGATTCTGCATATTTGCTTACACAAAAGAACTTCTGCTACTATGACTATGCTGCCATGACTATAAGTTTGATACCCCTGGGCTAAGACATGTAATCTTTTCACACCCTCAGCTGACAGAGGTACGAGACCATAGCTCTGTAGTGACCTACCACCATTCATATCCACAAGGAAGAATGATCACTAAATCTGGCTGTAACTTATTTCTTAGCTTCCCATCATCTTAAGCAAGGAATGGCCAACCTGCAGCATGAGTGCCACAAGCAACACATGCAGCTTCTGTTTGTGGCACATGACAGATTAGGGAAGGGGGGACTGGCAGCACAGTAACAGATAGGGAAGGAAGCAGAAGGCAGAGTAAGAAATCAGGCAGAAAGACATTAGGAAACAGAAAGCAGAGCAGGATATCAAGCAGGGAGGACTGAGTAGGGAACAGACAGCACAGCAACAGATTGGACAGAGAAAGGGACTCGGAGTGGTATTCAGGGAAGGTGTGAAGCTAATTTGTGGCCCCTCTGCTAAAAAGTTGGTTCCTGATGAATTGGGTCAGAAGCACAACACTACAATTTTTTGCTGGCATAGCCACAATGGCCAGAATATGAAAAAGCTTATTTTTGCTGTAAGAGATAGAAGTATGCCTTTATCAAATAAGCTATTTTTTGCAATAGAAACAATTTGTTTACTAGCTTAGCCATACTGGCTAGTTTTCCTGCAGTTCTAACCAGCCAGGACATACCTATTTGAGACACTGTTTTTCTCCCATGTCCATAATGCTACAGCTGCAGTAATGTTTGTACTGGGGGATCCCTAAAGTTGATATTTTAAGGCCCGAGGTATAGGCAGTAAGGGGTTTCTGTGAAGAGTGCTTAACTTTGGTACCAAGTCTTTGCTTTAATCAGAACTGGTTTTATTTGTCCAACTTCCAGGCACTGAAAAAAGCTTAACTTTTTACTTATGCCTTAGGGGAGAAAAGGGCTTGAGGGAGACTGATGTATAATGAGAATGTGGAGTTTTGATTTATTTTAGTTGAAGTCAGTTGCTAAGGGGTGTTTTATTGCAGGTTACAAAGGGTGTCTAGTTGTTTTTATTTAATGAATATGTTTTAGAGACACCTTTTAATGTACTGTTCTTATATAAAAATCAGGAAAAATAAAGATAAGGAAGGATAAAAAGAAAATGCTATAGTTATTTCTGTTTTTAATTTGGGAAGTATTACAGTAGCAAGGTGGCAAGTATCATGAATACAGACATGGATAAAATCATACTTCTAGAGCTAAAACCTGCTTGCTCGATTCATGCAAATAATTCCATTGTAATATGAGAAACTACGTGCATGAGATAGAAGAGCAATATTTGACTATTGGACCTTATAATTATGAAAGAGATGATATTGTGGTAATGATCACTGGATATTAGTTCCAATAACTTTAGCTTCTCCTTGAGCTGGCATGCCAAAGACAGAGCTGCTTTAACTGTAACTCATTTTGTTCACACACTGCGTAGGGCATTTTCAACAATTAAGACTGAAGCCCTTGCCTCTTAACAAGCACACTTACATCAGGATATCCTGCCACCTTGATTAATTCAGCAACGGCATTCTTAACAGCAGTTGGGTCTCTCACATCACACTGGATTGCATGAACCTTTAAAATAACAAAAAAGGCAGCTTTAAGACTTTAAACTATTACTCCTAAGGTAAATCAGCCCTCAAAACTCTATCAATGCATCTAAAATCACAGTTAATTTAATAATTAAAATGTATGCCTACTGTACATACCTACCTTATTCCCTGTTTTCGAAGAAATTTCCTCTGCTGTTTGTTTCAAAACCTCTATCTTCCTAGAAATAAATAAAATGTTTACATGGCTTGAATTTCCACTAAATGCATCTCTGCAGCAAGTCAATACACTGAAACATTAATGATTTGAACAAATGTGAAGTCAAGCAAACATTTATTATATATTAACATGGTTGCTGATTTAACTTTAAAATTCACCTGAAAAAAAATGATTTAACTGTGATAATCCAATTTGGTTTCTGCAAATTATATAATCAATCTTGATAGTTATGTCCCACAGTTAAGATACTATGAGCTAAAAACAACTCAGAAGTCCCAAACCAAGAGTATACTTTCTCTAATAAAATATGTTACATGGAACAAAAATATTGTCAAACTGAACATATTTTTTATATGGTGGTAGTGATGGGATTATTCAAAAAACATCCTGGAGACAAAATCGGCATGTGATTCATTAGTTGGCAGGATATCACAGTTTTTCTGTTTATTTTAGCTCAAAGGATTAGTTTGTTTTCTCTTACTGTGCTATTACCTAAAGAGATCATTCAAAGATCATTTTTGCTATTAAAATCTTAAAATCCTGAGAGTTACAAGAAATGCTGTTTATAAGAAAGAAAGAAAAGTCATAGAAAGATAATAAACATCTATAATAATGAAATCAGTGACCAATGCTGTCCATTTATAAGCATTTAGCTTATTTGGTCAGTGTGGTCCTTTCTTTTCCCAACCCCTAAATTTTCAAGAGAGGAAGATTATCCAGCTCTGTTTCACTACTACACTTCCTTGTCAAGGACTATTATCCTGAAATTGACTTATTTCTTGCCACTATGCAACAGCCAAACACAAGACCATTGCACAAATACTATTTAAAATACATGTTATGCAACACATTTGTGGTTAGGTCAGCAGTTTTTTGAGAGTTGGCACATTAGATTATAATTGAAAAAGGATACTTCAGGTGAAGAATCAGACTTAACATGAATGGTTTTGAATAAGAAAGGTAGTTTTATCTATTGTTAATGAAGGGAAAGAAAATCAGATCCATTTAGCTTTCAATAACAAAGCTTTTTAAGTATTGTTGATTAGTACTCACCGGCTTGCTATAATACACTCAGCACCTAAACTGGACAGAGTTGTAGTCATCCCTTTGCCAATCCCAGTACCTCCACCAGTAATAAAGGCCACTTTTCCTTGAAAGGTATTTGGTGGTAACATAACTTTCTGAAGTGGTGAAAAGAAGGTAGCTTGTGGAGCATTGCTGCTTTCACTTAAAAGATTTGACCCATGACTGAACAACTGAAAGAAAAAAAAATAGTGAAATTATTTTCTACTCTCTCTATATATGAATACCTGCAGTTATCTTCATAAGAAACATTTACACATTTACCTTAGTATTATGATGATAATTTTTTTTTGTTAAAATGAACTAATTTAGGCCCCAATCTGCAGTGAGATTCATCAGCATGGACATATCAGTTGCTTACAGCTTTCAAGGCAGGATTTGGATCTTTGACTTAAAATGTTATACACTGCCAGTAAATCTATAGCTACTTCTAAGATGACAAGTTAAGCATTTGCATTAATCGTTGCAGAATCAGAAGCTTCTGCAGTTGCTATTGACTTTAAGGGGAATAGATTAAAGCTCACAGAACATTGCTTAGTGGAATTATTTCTTGGAGTATGGTTTACATACTCTGATGCTGTATTTGTACACCAAAGGCAGTGTTGCTTCCAATTTCAACTAAGCAGATAAGAAAAACTACATACATTGTCAGCCTTTCAGCTTCAAACAGCCCAGGTGGCAGAAAGATAGTGGAAAGTTTCTCTGGTACAAATTGGATGTTTTTCCCTTTCACAGGAGAGCAGGGATGATGTTAACAGAGACCCTACTGGTCTCAAATTTGATTGATGCTGCCCAGTAGATGAAAGGCCATTGGATATATATATTTCATCAGTGCTCGCGGAATCACCCCGCAGAAACATCCATGTCAGGGGCTAGACAACAGTGCTAAAGAAAATTCCAACAACAATTTCAGGACCATTTCTTAAAAAAAAAAACAAAAAAACGGACTTAGAAAGAAAAAGTGTCACTTGAGTTAAAACTGCTTGAAAAAGAAGAAAATCTTATATTCCAGAAGTAGACCTGGTGATCCATGTAACTAGACAAAAACTCAGTGAAGCACTGAAATCCATTCTTTGCAATCAAAAAAGGGTGTATCAGAAAATGTCACGACATCACTCGGCAAGTAAACATCTTGGAGCAATCTGTTTGCAATCCATGAAATAAACATATTTAGATCTTCTATGCAGCTAAGGTGGTAGGAACACTCTTGTAATCATACATATTATTGCTTTGCTTTTTAAATATTTATTTACTATTAACTTCATTTTGAAAAGATACTGTTCTCTTTCCTCACAATGAATTGACCAAATCACAATTATTCCTTTCCATGTAAAGGACAGTTTTTATTACCTGACTGCCACCCAGCCATCTATAAATTATTGTTGTTTAGAGTAAGAATATGAACAAATCTCTGCATATAAGAGAGTGCAGAGTGGAACAGGGACAGGAAATAAAATTGTAACTATTATGAAACAGTACAAGAAACATACAATGCCAATCCCATGGTGATTATAGTCAGATGAAATAAGACTAACAGCTGATGACAATCAAGTGCTTTCTAGACCAGTGGTTGGCAACCTATGGCCTGTGGCCTGGATCTGGCCTACCAGTTTTATCCAACCCATAAAGCCAGGATGGCAGTAACTGGATTGCAAATGGTGGTCTGCCTTCAGACTGTGCTGTGTTAATTTGGTCTGCTTTTGCTAGAAGTTTGCTGACCTCTGTTCTAGACTAATATGAAAGAGGTCTCAGTTAGACTAAAGTCAGATCTACAATGAAAATAGAGACATACATAAAATCCTACCATGTTGACATTTACATTAAACCAGGTATTTCAGATTTCTCAGCACTATGCAGCAGTGTCACAGAAGTGATGGCACAATGCTTTAGCAATGGTGTTGACAAATACAAGCAACTCAAATTAAGATTTTCAAAAACAACTGAGAATAAAAGAAATTATCAGACAACACATTTTCTAAAGCAACAAAATCCCAATCAGACCTATGCAAAGTTTCTCCATAATATTAATTTTGTTTTAATGCTTTTTCTAAAGAAATCTTCATTTTTATCTGATGCACTGTGATTTTGAATTTTTGGGGAAAGAAGTCCTTTAATACTACAACTAGCAGAGAAGTTCTTTTTTATTTTCCTTTTGAATTCCAGGTTTTTTTAAAAGGCTCAAACTCTCTGCTTTATACCCTGTTAGAGAAAGTATCTTCAGTTTTCACCTTTTTATTTCCTTTTATACATCTTTGTTACAAAAGGCTAAGGTGAGATGATCAAAACCTAGATTAAAGAATAAATACCTCCTGAATAGAATGTAAGAAGTGACAGTTTGATCATTAATCCTTTTCAGGGCTGGAAGGAAGAGAAATAAAACACGGCTGTGTGAATTTTAAAATGGAATTTTGAAAAAAGAATATAGAGCTAAGATTAAAGAAAGGAAGCATAGAAGGAAAGTCAGAGACAAAGCATATTTAAAACATGGGATTGACATACTTTGGATATCCAGAAAATGAGCCTGTTATCTTGGTGGAAATAACCATAATCCCACTCCCCAACAATTGTAAAACAGAGCTTTAAAAGTTTTAATGGGCCCAGTTTTCAGAAGTGCCACTGTGTAAGAACCCATACTATAACCATGATTGCTTAGGCACAAATGACCATTTATCTCCTATACAATTAACTTAAGTATACTATCAACAGGTGACCTTGTTTCACATTGCGTGTGCAATGTTGGTGAACACATACATAAGCTACCTTTGTAAATCATTTTGGAGTATTGGTAAAATAAAATAAAATTTTGTTGTGGAGGAGCAATAGATGACAATCGAGAACTTGAAAATGGAAGAGCAAGAGTTGGTATAAGCAGTATGAAATCTGAACAAGAATTATTACCTGAAGAAACCTCAGTAACTGACATGCATAGAAAAGAATTTCATCAGATGACAAAATGGACTTTGAAAACCCAGTCTTCTAAGTTTAGCATTGTTTCTAAAATAGATGTAGTTGACCTCCAAAACCAGCTATCATGACAAATAAAACATTTAAAGAAATTAAATTGAAACTTGAGTCATCTACACGTGCGTTTTACTACAGGTTTGACGAATTAGCTCCTCCATTAAACATCAAAGTCAACACACGCGCCGGTATTAGGGTGCACAAAATGAATTAACTCCGCCACAGGGACAATGCGGCACAGAAATTTATTCCACTGAAATGCACACGCACACAGTGACCGGGGCTGGCTGGGGCACGAGAGTGCTAAAGTGCAGGAGCTGCCTGCTGCTTAGCCCCACACTTTAGCACCCTTGGGCCCCAGCCAGCCACTCTGTCATGGGATGTTGCCACCCAGAGCCTGGGACTGACCCCCGCCACGTGGCCTACCAGCCTGGGGTTGCTCCACCCTAGCTCAATCTGCTGAGGTCCGGGGCACACATGTAAATGCTGTGCCCAGGATCACTTTTCCCAAGTACAAACTGCAGCAAATTTCATCACATCACCAGAATGGCACATACTGCCCCCACTGTATGCTAGGCAAAATATGTTGTCTAAGTTAATATGCAAATCTTCAAGATGCTTGAAGAAATGGGAAATGAAAAGGCTAAAATAGATTCCAATTGCACATACTTGTTTACGCTGAATTTATATGCCTGTTTCCCAAATATGCAAAAACTTAACTTTTGCTACAAAATATATAATGAAGATTTTTCCTGGCAGCACATTACATGTTATAATTACATTAAAAAAAAGATAACTCCACCTACACACAAAGTTTAGTTGGATGTGATACAGCAGATTCACAAGATATATTAGGTGTTTGGAAAATTATATATTATATTATTATTTATATTATGAACCGTGGTAATCTAAAGTAAATCAAAATGGATGAAAACTTATTATAAAGTAACATAGAAAAATCTGGAAAGAAAAGCAAAATAATGTTGGGAAACAGATGAACAGAGATTGGAGCAGAACACTGGGAAAAAAGAGACCTGAATTATGTTCAGCAATATGTTTCACAATATTTTTAGCTCAGTTGTACCATCATTAAAATAGGGATTACATCAATCCACTTTTGAAATTACTTTGACAACATTATGGTTTGCTTGGGTACGTCTACATGAGACATTTACTGCGCAGTAGACTAGCTGCACAGTAAACACTGCAGATCTACATGTACGCCCCTATTAGGCTGGAGTAAACTAATTTATTCCACCACAGGACGTACTTACAAATACATGTACTCTCCCTCTCCTGCTGCAGAGTAAAAAAATTCTGCAACAGCACATGTGCAGGTGCTGCCCTGGCTGGCTGGGTCATGAGGGTGCTTCAGTGGGGGGGGGGGGGGGGGGG